CCCCAAAACCCCAAAACCCCAAAACCCCAAAACCCCAAAACCCCAAAACCCCAAAACCCCTAATATACACTTATTGTTGAGCTATGTTAAACTTGAGATAATATTATCTGAACGAGGATTAGTGCCCTTCCTTTCTCATATGCAACCTGAGGTTGAACTCAGAGGAGTATTTACACTCACATTTCTCACATTTAAATTTTTGGATGTCTTCAGCAACCTCGTTTTTGTGCTTCTTCAAATGTTTCTTCAGATTTCCTTTCTGGGTGAAATCTTTATCTCAAATTTTACATTTAAATGGGTTTTCCTTGGTATGGATTCTAAAATGATCTACTATATTCCAAGTCTTGACGAACTCTTTGTTACAGTTTTCATATTTACAAATGATTACCCTTCTACTTCTCTTACTCTCAGGATTGTACTCAAACTTTAGCTCGTATTGATGTCCTTTAAGAGGGTCTATATCTTGGCTGTCTTCATCAGCAGGTTTATTTATTTTCCTCTTTGCTATCTTCCTTGTTCTCGTTATTTTCAAGTGAAGAATCTTTTAGTTTTTCAGCAAAGTTCTCACAAAAATCAAGAGAAGGTTTAGATCCTCCTATAGGGACAATGAAATTATTGAAAGTAAAATGAAAGAAGGCTTTATCAGGCCCAGGAGTAGATTCTTTGCTCTTATCACCCTTCTCTTCATTGTCTATCGGCTGTAACCTTCTTTTGTTGTCAAGTGGAAGGTCACTCAGTTTCCCTTTAGCAAGAGGTTCTGCCTGAGGAAATAAGAAATTATGCTCATGAATAGGTGTAATGCTCAGCAGAGGCGGAACATTCTCTGCTTCGAATTTAGGCTTGACGTTAATTGTCGGCACGTTGATCTATAAGTTAATTTAGTTAATGCAAAAATATTTCTCATACTCTATTAAGTCTCATCAAGATATCTTCATAGTTTTTGAGTGTGGCCTCGAAACAGTTCGAGTCACTATTTTTCCTGATGCTCTTATCTTCAGAAGTTTGGAGATCTCCCTGGTTATTTTCCATATGAAATCAATTATATAAAGTGATTCAACATGTACTAGCTTATATGGGGTTTTGGGGTTTTGGGGTTTTGGGGTTTTGGGGTTTTGGGG